TGCGTGCGTGCGTGCGTGCGTGCGTCCTTGCGTGCGTGCGTGCGTGCGTGCGTGCGTGCGTGCGTGCGTGCGTGCGTGCGTGCGTGCGTGCGTGCGTGCGTGCGTGCGTGCGTGCGTGCGTGCGTGCGTGCGTGCGTGCGTGCGTGCGTGCGTGCGTGCGTGCGTGCGTGCTTGCGTGCGTGCGTGCGTGCGTGCGTGCGTGCGTGCGTGCGTGCGTGCGTGCGTGCGTGCGTGCGTGCGTGCGTGCGTGCGTGCGTGCGTGCGTGCGTGCGTGCGTGCGTGCGTGCGTGCGTGCGTGCTTGCGTGCGTGCGTGCGTGCGTGCGTGCGTGCGTGCGTGCGTGCGTGCGTGCGTGCGTGCGTGCGTGCGTGCGTGCGTGCGTGCGTGCGTGCGTGCGTGCGTGCGTGCGTGCGTGCGTGCGTGCGTGCGTGCGTGCGTGCGTGCGCGAGCGTACCAGTAACGTCCATCCCGTCTAATTACTCAACGTCTTCACGAAGAGGGCCCTAGACGCGACGTCGCATTCGGAGGGCCTGTGGACGTTTCGGTCATGTCTAAGTTCGCTTCTGCTCCCCAGTCTGAGTGCTCAATAGGTTTTGAGGCCTTAGAGGTGGTTTAAGCCAGTTGAACCCTAAATCGGGCAAGGTTGTCTCAATTTTTGTGGTTGTAGAGGGTTTAGGATTTAGGGCTTCGGGTCGTGGTCTTCAATCAATGTAGAGGTTTTAAGATTTAGGGCTTCGGGTGGTTTATCTTGGTCTTTGAGCATTTTTAAAATAAGTCCCGTCGGAGGTGATCGACTTCGGGATCGCCAAGAGAATCTCGAACGACACCACGAACATCCAGCGGGACACGTCTGCCGCGATCCCAGGGTTCATTCGTTTGTTGAGATGTTCTGAAAAATGTCAGCCTTGCTCTTGAGTTGAGAAGTTGTGCAGCTGCGATAACCCATGCGCATGTTTTGTTGAGTGCAGCTTGTGGACACCTGGGTGACAAAGCCGCAGAACTTGCCTTGGTTGTACTCTCATCCGCGAAAGTGCCCGAGCGGTACTAAATGGAAACCCGTGCCGGAGCGTCTGACATGTGACTTTGCGGTGCTGTTCTGTTCATTGGGTTGGTTATTTATTGCCTGTGCTGGGCGACGCAGCATGTCATCCACTAGAGCGGTGGCTCAAAGTGGATTCTCAAGTTGCATGTGCTGGTGCGATGCCCCGGGGTTGAACTTGCTCCTGTGGGATCCTGCGGGCTTGTTCCTTGATCCACCAGATCCCATCTCCCCGTTCCAGCCTTTCAAGGCCGCAGAAATGGCTGCGTTGCGGATGCGAATGGCTTCTCACTATGTTTCGGAAGCGCAAGTTGCTCAGGGTGGTGTGATGGCAGCGTGCACACGGCAGCTGGCACGACACTTGAACCATTGCCTAGAAGACAACACGGGCCTACACAGACAACCTGGTGTCTTGAGAAATGAGCAAGCTGAATCAGCACAGAGCTGGACCGGAATTATCACGCTATATCATGCCACAAAAATCCCACAGCTCGGAGGAAGCCAAACGCGTCAACAACTTCGCGATGGCTGGATGCATCGTTGCGTAGCCGGACCCCATGTTGTTTGCGGAGGCTCGGACTCGGCAGCTCTCCGTGATTGTTCTTTCTCGGCCGGCCTTTGCAAGCTGGGTCGTCTTGCCGGGCGAGATTCCTTTCGGAGATTCTGATTCCCATGTTTCGCAGGAGATGGGATTACCCCGGCTCCCGTGTGATCGAGCTGGGGCCTCCATCTATGGATGAAACTCCGGAACGATTCCACCCCTTTACAAGTTTTTGTTCACAAAGGGGCCCTCCCTGCGTCGAAAATTGCGATCTGAACAGCTGTGGCAGCTGCCGCCCTTGCCCCAGCAATGATCGGGATCCGCCTGCTTGTGAGGCTCTCCCTCGCACTCGCTCACCGCACGTCGAACGTTCATGCTGTAGCACGCACTGCAGTCACGTTGCAGTCACGTGCGGTTCCATCCCAAAAGCTTTTGAACCGCGTCCAGCTGCGACTGGAGCCACGAAGGTTAGCACCCAAGGCACAGTCGTCCCCATGATGCGCCTCACAAACCTTCGCAGCTGCCTCCCCTCCTCGCCTCCTCAGCGTGAGGTGGGGACGCTCAGCTACATGGCGCCCGAGGCCGTGAAGCAGGGCCAGCGCTGGCCCCAGTTTAGAAGATCGACTTGCTGCTTTCGGTGGAAGCTTTGGGGGCTGAAGTTTGTCGTTTGTCTTTTGAGCGTTTAGGTTTCCAGCCTGTTTGTGTGGATGGGTGGAAGATGGTGGAAGGGTATCCACGTTGTAGTTTCGAGTGTTGGCGCTGTTGATGAGGACCTGGGACGCAGGGTCTTTGGGAGAGCTGCTTCTGAGCATTGCGTCGCTACTGCCGTGCCGGGACTGATGTAACAAGGGCTTTTCAACAACGGCGCGGCCGCAATGTGCAAACAATTGGGGGGAGACGAAGCCGTCATAGGAGGAATGAGTTGAAACTTGCAACCGGGAACCCAGAGTAAATTAATATCGTCCTCCAAGACCTGTAAAGCCCAGGCCCGGACTTCACGCTCAGGAACAGCATGTAACGTAGTAGACTCTGACACTCCCAGCTCTCCCCGTTAGGCTGAAGTTGGGCCGAGCTTCGGACATTTGGCGCGCTGCCCAGCAAGGGCTAAGTTAGACGAGGTTCAGGGTCCCGAGCTCCCGAAGGGTTTCGCTCGTTGATAACTTCGAAAAGGCAGCTGGTATCACCCATGTGTCTTCTGCTCGACTTGCACTTCTGGCATGTCAAATGTCGGTCTTTCGGCCGCAATCATACACCGCACGTGAGGTCTCTGGGCATTATCCTGTATCAGATGGTCTACGGCACGCCTCCTCTGGTCAGAGCCCCAACCGAGTGGGCGAACTTTTAAGTGTCTCTCGCAGCTGGACAAAAGGTGGAACTGTCAGGGGTCAAGTCCTTGAGAAAGACTTCCGCGCCGCATTAACATCTAATGGAAGCAGTGGAACTCTGCTGAGCGGCCTCGATCTCCTTATGAACATACTCTTTGGTTGGCGGAGATCTCCCTTGCTTTTGCTTGACGGTTGTTTCAACTACCTTGGACCTCCACAAGTTTCGCTTCGATTTGTGCCCATTCTCAGCCTTAAGCCATGTGAAGCAGGGTATCTATTACTGTTCTTGGTGAGTGTATATAAGCTTTTTTTGGATATTGGTGAGTGTATATACTTGGTGTCCTTTAGGGGATACAGGAAACATACACCCTACTTCATGTGACGTGCATCTGGTCAAGCGGCGCAGCCTGCAAGCATCAGGC